TATACAGGGTGTATCAAATAAACGCAATTCATCTTTTGTGCTTAATAACTTTCGAGATACTATTTCTAGTTAAACGCTTTTAGGCTTGCTTCAAAGCCTGTTCTTTTCTCTTTCAAACAAACTATTATCCTTGTCTCCAATGCTAGTAATAATTGCACAGGAAAAGATTTAGTAAAACCTATCATTTTTAGTTGCTGTTTAATTATGCAAGTTTACTATGTTATTGTTTAGTCGGTTTAAATGTTAGAATTTTCTTCTTTAAACTTTAATGTTGTCGTCACTACATCTGGAAAACCACGTAAGAACAAATTAAAAGTATTTTAAAAGAGACCAGGTTGTTTGAAAATCCTAAACGAATGCTAAAAATCGTCAAAACATTCTGGTGTCTGAGCCAGAGTGTCATCGAATTGCGATGTAATGTAAACAGAAATTATAGCAAGTTGATGTCAGTCAGCTTAGATGGTCCAAGCCAAAATTATATCGCATTTGAAGTTTCAAACTGAGTTAAAAATAGTGGAAGAAAAGCCGTAATTATACTTATTGTTACAATCCATTTAATAAAATGCAACATTTTTTTGTTTTAATGAAAAAATCAGTTATTTTCATGAGAACGATTTGTTATTCCATTTCAATTTTTTTAATCTCCAATCGCAATAACGTAAAGTATTATTACCCGCGAACCAATGAGTCAAATTTAAGAAACAACCCACTGTTAGAAAGCTGAATGGCTACGCTTTAAAATGAAAGTAAACTTTAAAGTTTTTGTCTATTATTTGTTTAGCAATTTACATTTTAGTCGAGGATTGCGCTTTTTTTGATACACCCTGTATATATACACTGCCTGTGATTAAATGGAATCGTCATATGGCATGCATATATCTCATGGATATACTATCTTATTTTAAACTAAGGTAACGATATTTGAAAGTATAGGCAACTGTATTAAGTATATTTAAAAAAATTGAAATTATATAAAAAATAGAGTATAGCAAAATTAATATAAGTATATATATAAATTTATTATTTTTAAGAGACTAACCATACAGTATAGCGAACTATAACCATAGAGACTATAACCATGTGTTGATATACACAGAAGTTGCAGCTTCCCAAAGCAAAAATATCCCACCAAAGTGTAGAATTATAGATAGTTATATTGATTGGAGACATTCAAAGGTAAAATAATTACTTGAGGAATTACAGCATCAAACTACCTGAAAAATATAAGAACTTCGACGTTTAAAGCGAACTAAAGACCTTTCGTTTCGAAGTTTTTGGCTATACTAACTTCAGACGAAAGGGCCTTGATTCGAAACGTCGAAGTTCGCGCTATGTTTTTCAGTTCGTTTAATTGATCCTCTAATACCTCAACTATATTGAGAATGTTCCTCGCTATCTATACTAGTGGTACGATATAATTTACGTACTTTTCATCAAAAAGTACCGTATAAAAAAAATGCCATCGGCTATTGAAATTCGAATAAACAGATATAGTAATTAAAGTTTTTTATTGAATTGGATGCCAAAGAAATGAATGCATGCATGTATTCTTTAATCCTTATTATTGTCAGTAAAGTCGCTGCATATTAAATTGATCATTTTCACATGATAAATAGCTATACACATAAACCTTTTTTTCTAAGAGGATATAAATTAAGTAATTTTTATTTTAAATTTGTAGTCTTAGGCTTAGCATGTGAGCTTAAATTGCGTTTAGACTTACGTTCTGTGATAATATAGAAAACTGGTTACATTTCTGTGGTGGTATATAAAAAAACAATAGTTAAATAATATAGTTAGGCCTACATGTATAATTGTAGTAACCAAAACTTACCTATACCGTAATTTCCAGCGTCCTAATTCAAGTCCTGAACAATTTATGGGAGAACTTCTTCAAATTCTATAGAAATAATTGCAAATCAAACCACTTATCCAATTGTTGACCAGCCCACGGGTTCTCTTAATATTGTATCTTAATTGGCATCGAATCGGATTATCTCGTTACAGTAATAACCAATCTCAATGGGAAATATATTTTCTCGTATAGCGTGTAACGAAGTTCAAGTAGATTTGAGTGTATGGCTTAGCACCGAACTTAACAAACTGAAGGTTTACAAGATTGACACTGGGATCAAGCAAAATTGGCAGTTTTGATTGATTGTTGGCTTCACATGACGTTACGTTTACAGGCGCAAGGCCTGCATGTGGTAGCTCATTGACCACTGCACGCCTATATCTTAATATACATGCTATAGTAACATATCGGCTAAGTTTAAAACCACTAAATTATAACTCTCATAACAACTGAACACAGAATTTGCTTTTGTTACATTCATTTAAATGGTATAGTTTGTTTTTGAGTTGAAAGTCTTTGAACCTCCGAATAAAATGTATAATATGCTTATACGCTATATATGCTCATATATACTCATAGTTACTGTGCATGGACAGTGACTGTGTAATACATGATGCGGGTATGAAAAGATGGGGTTTATAAAAGTATGAATAAAAGTATGAATGTCGTTATCAACTAAGTTGCATGTTGCTTGTTTAGTTGTTATTCATTAATAGGATTGCGAAAGGTTTTACAAATAGGCTATACCGCCCTGATGGTGCAAGTCAGTTCGTTGTTCGTAAGTTTTGAAAGATTATATAATATGGAGGTACAGAAACTAGGTATTGTAATATTGCTAAGGAATTCCTTATTCTTCCCCAACTCAAGCAATATAGTTGGTTTGATTGCGTTGGTCGGAAATGAATTGCACGACTGAGGTATTCTAAGTCAAATTCCAATTTCCGTCACAGTTTTCAAGACGCATTGAGAGAAATACTTTGTATGACATATGTATGTTTCTCTCAGTGGCTATATTCAAGCAGTTAAGAAACCATATTACATGTTTCAAGATACGAAAAATTTAGATCAATTTCAGGCATGGTGGTTAATCCTGAGTGCGTTAATGAGTCTCTTCCCTGTAATTATATCCTAGTTTCCTAGTCATTATATAGCCCGTAAGTTGCGGCACACATTATCAATTAAGCCTGATTTCCTGCTTATACCAGGAGGTTAATACAAGTTTAAACGCTTGTTGCCGGCCTTCGAATTTATTTTCCCTAAATTTTGAGATTAAGACGTACCTTAAAATAGTCTAAGGAATTAACAATTTTACCGCAAAACAACGGGATGCGATTCCATTTCCTCTTAAATTCAAATATCATCCTTCGCTTCTAAATAAATTTTGCTTTGTATTCTTTTTTGGCGTAAGCTGTATACAAAGGAAATTGTGTCGGCTTAGAGTTAATGACTGGACTATTGCAAAATCGTTGTTGTCAAACAATTGATCTACAAGCCACCGAAATCATCAAAGATCTTATTGAACTTTAGTGTTCGTTAATTAGACATATTGCACATTTCTTGGATACATGCAAGATACTAAAATTCACGACTGCTTGTTTGATGAGCGAATGCAGGAAGCATACTCCATAGATTTCAAATAATGTTCGCAAATCGACCGTCAGATTTAATTAAACTGCCAAATCCTATGCGGTTAGATATCTATTAAATGTCAATAGCTCCTGCGGTGATTCCCAACAAGCGTTTTATATGCTTATTGTAAATCTCGTCACAGACACAGCGGAACATTCCTGTGACACTGAGATGCGAGCAAAAGCCAGGAGATGTTTATTAGCTTTGCTTTTCGCACTAATTTTGTTTACTAGATGCAGGGTAGTCTTAAATCAAATTGCCACCACACGGTGGAGCGTGGGAATAACAGGTAGGGTAGCTAAAAACGCCTGAAGAAGATTTATGGCACGAGTGATAGATATCGGAAAGGTAATAATCTTTTTATAGATTTAAGTAAATTTTGCTAATACATAATGACAGTTGGAACAATGCTCTATAAAAGTTCTAACTGTATTTCCCGTCGACTTCGTTGTTTTAGACTATAGATATGGACGTTGTGGCGCTGTCATTGTTAGCATTCACCACAATCACATATCATATGATTTTCCTACGATAAAATAATCAACGTAACAAGTCTGGACATCTGCATGCTGGGTGCAATTGTTTTCACCATAATTGAAGTAGATTGTTGCAGTCACCAGAACTGTGCGAAAACAGCACGGAAAAAGTAAAATCTTTGATTCTCCTGGCAAGATATCACAAACCCGTTATACTTCGCACCGCTGTTGGAAATTCGGATGTTCACGACATGAAATGTCGTCTCATGGGAAAAACAAATGCAAAGGGAAACGTTTTCAAAAGAACCTCCCACGCATGTCGCCATCGCCCTAGATTTTAGATCATGAGAAGGCACATTTTCAGCGGTAATGCTCCGTCACACGGCTATAGCGCTAGCTCCGCTTGTGGTTGCAGTTATCTGTCAAGGTTGCACTTGTTTGGATATATTTTTAGGAACATGGTTTCTATCTGTCAAGGTTGGGCTTCGGGAAAAACTGCTTACCGTTATATTTTTAGGAACATGATCTCTATCTATCCATGTTGGGTTTCGGGGAAAATGTTCGCCGTTATCTTTTAGTAACGTGATTTCTATCTGTCAAGGTTGGGCTCGGGAAAAACTGCTTGCCGTTATATTTTTAGTAACATGATTTCTGTCAGTAAAGGTTGGGCTCGAGAAAAACTGGTTGGCATTATATTTTTAGGAATGTGATTTCTATCTATCCATGTTGGGCTTCGAGAGAATTGTTTGCCGATATATTTTTAGTAACGCGATTTCTATCTGTCAAGGTTGGGCTCGGGAAAAACTGCTTGCCGTTATATTTTAATTTAGTAACGTGATTTATATCTGTAAAGGTTGGACTCGAGAAAAACTGGTTGGCGTTATATTTTTAGGAATGTGATTCCTATCTGTCACGGTTGGACTTTGGGAAAAATTGCTTGCCGTTATATTTTTAGGTACATGATTTCTCCAACTGATGGGAAGTAATAGTAACACGAGTAAGTGTCCTTCCTCTGATTTCTAAATGCAGACAAGCCAGTTGAAAATACGAGGCGAAGCCGAGTTTTTTTAACCAGCTTGTCTGTATTTAGAAATCAGAGGAAGAACACTTACTCGTATTTGAACTTAAGCCGGTTTTCCACTTCAAGCGTACCGTACCGAAACGTATCAAAAACGTTTTTAATTTCAAAATTTCGTGAATGATGATTGATTAGTACTTTCGTAGTACGCCAAAAAGTTGACTTGCGACGAACTTTTTATTTTGATATACGAATACACCCAGAAGTACGTGGTTTTATAAACCTCTTTTTAATCTGCGCATGCTCACCAGTACGTTTCGTTACGATACGGACGAAGTGGAAAACCGGCTTTACTTCTCAAACGAACCCGTATTTCAAGAGAAAATCAAGATTAAAGTTGGAGAAATTCGGCTGTGATCTTCCCCCGATTTCTAAATACTGATTAAATATTTATTTCTTTTTAATTTTCTTCATGAATTATTAATGAGTTTGACAACGTTGAAGGAAAGACGGTCAACATACACTTGTTTGATATATATATCTGATTTGTTATTTTTAATGAGTAATCATACTGGAAATATTTTTTGTGTTATTTTTTTCGTGTTTGCTAGGGATTGTTCATTTTTTATCTTGGAGAGGGGGGAGTGCTTGTGGAATTTAGTATGTACCCTCTTGAAAATTTGGCTTGGCGCACCCCTTCATACCCATTTTTTCAGATGCCCTACCTGTCAAAATGCACATGTAAGAGACTCGGTTTCTGACTAAAAGACGAGTGGTCGTTGGTTGACTTCCTATAACTTTAACATATTTTCTAATTAGCCGAAAACATAAAACAAGTTCTACACTTCCGAGAATAGACTTCTTTTAAGATGACATAATGATTTTGGTGGCATACCGGAAGTTGTTCAATTATACGTTCTATGATTATTGAATCTTCAAAGCAAAAATTGTTCCAATCAAGTTGTGTCTATTCTTTAATGATAGTAAAGCCCATGCAGCTAAAGCCTGGTTTACACTACAGAGCCAGAAACGCGCAAGTCGGAACAGATCTGCAACAGATCTGTTAAATCCTGTTGTCAACAAGCCGATATCTGCATGGATGCATTCGCTCGCCTTATACCAGTCTGTTCTGACAGGTCCGCAACGGCTTGTCAACATGTCTGTTACAAGCTGTTGTGACAGAGCTGTAGCACTGCTGTTTTCCACAGGCCTGTCGCAAGTTGTTGTGACAGAGCTGCAGCAATGCTGTTTTCAATAGGCCTGTCGCAAGTTGATGAGACAGAGCTGCAGCAATGCTGTTTTTTGTTGTTGGTAACACAGAAAAATCATTACGGATTATTAGATTACATTGATATCGAAGGAACTAGATTCTGTTCCGAAATATCACATACTTGAACCGAACTGACTGCGTAGCTCAGTTGGCAGAGCATTGGGCTAGTATTCCAAAGGTCGTAAGTTCGATTCCCACCGTGGTCAAGTATATTTTTCAAGCTTGCCCGGTGTGGATATACACTCAGAGTAACATCACAAGCATCATATTCACCTGAGTACATTACACCAACACAGAAAAATCATGTATTCCTTGTTGAAAAAGAAAAAGCATTTTACTGATGTAAAACAACATTTTTCACAAAAGTTACACAACTGCCGTTGCTATGGCAACAGTGGCGTTTCAAGATGGCGGATATTTAGGCTTTACAGCAGGGCGCTTATATATAGGGCGGCGCAACGCCAGTGATTTCGCTGATCGACGTGTGATGCGGGGCCTGGTAAGCAATTTCCTGCACTACACGGTCAGCGGTAGTCAATCTTAACTTAACATCGCTCTATGTCTTAGCAACCTGCATAGCAACAACGCTGTAATGAAAACAAATATTAAAAATTATATATAAGCGCCCTGCTTTACAGTCGTGCCAATAGAAGCGTTCCGAAAAATGTTGACCAGTTCATTTCCTAACTTCGAGGAGTTCCTCTGAACAATTCATCAACAATTTGATAAGTTCCTTAAAAAGTTCCTAACTTCCTGTTTCATTGACCAATCAGATTACTCAAAAATAAAATATTAAATTTGATTGGTCAATGAAACAGAAATTTTCAAAATTTTAATGAATTGTTCAGAGGTGTTCCTTCAAGTTAGGAAAAGAATTGGTCAACATTTTTCGGAACGCTTCTATTGGCACGACTGTAAAGTAATTTAACTCGTAAACGACATTGCATGCTGACCCCAAAATTTTATTTCATAAATGATTTCTTTTAGTATACTCAATTGTTTTGATAATTTAAAAAAATTCTTTTCAGCAAAAATATTATTACTTCGGTAGAAATACATGCATGCAGCAACCCCTCTCCTATATTTTCCAAACATTGATTTAACATGAAGTATTAATTGGCCAGCAATGAACGCAGGCTCGCGTTGTCCATCAAGTCAGATCAAGTGTTGCCATGGCAACACGAAATTTTAATATTTTAAATTTTATTTGTATTGAGCTTTAATTTGGCTATTTGTATTGAGCTTTGTCCGTGAATTAATTTGATTGGTTCATTTCTTCGTTTGTCAGCTTGGTAGAATGACATCAAGTAAATTTCATTCATTTTATCAGCGTGTATCGACCTGCGAGCAGGTGGCCTGATCAGTTAGGGTTAGGGTTAAATGTTAAGGTTAGGGAAGTGGTTAATGACCATTTAAATCAGTTCAAATTAATTCACGGACAAATAGCCAAAGCTCGTTGGTTTCCGTGACCGGACAAATAACAACTTTCTTATATTTTTTGTACAAAACGGCAAATATTTTTCCGTTGAAAGATTAGTACTTCTAACTATACAACAATGAATTTCCGAAATATATACTGTGCACGTGAGTTTTTTTCTTCATTTTGCGAGCTTTGATTTGATGTGAAATTTAACCTGAAACCCTTCGTAAAATGTTCATTCAACCAAACTGTTGAGTATTTCAGTTCCATCTTCAAATTAATTTGCTCTCCATTACATTTTAAGTTTTTATCTTAATGCACTTGTCATCGGAAACCCCCACCCCGGGGAAACATGTGGCATTGGGGGATGATGGGGCTTTAGGCATTTCATTGTGCCCCATGGGGTGGGGGCTTAGGCAATTTTCGTCAAATTCGTATCGTTTTTTAAATTGTCAAAATAATTGAGTATATACTAATAGAAATCATTTAATAAAATTAAATTTGGGGGTCACCGGTGTCGTTTACGAGTTAAATTACTTAACGTCATTGTTGCTATACCAACAGCAGTTGCGTAGTTTTGTGGAAATATTTTTTACATAAGTATACTTTTTTGTTTTTCAACAAGTAATACTTGTTCAAAAATACGGGTCTAAATCGCAAATTTTCCATTTTTAAAAAACTGTATCGAGCCGCATTGGTCCTTGGAGTGTGTTTCAGAATTGCTTAGCACTGAGAGGTGCGCAATATATCGCGCATTTGTGATACAACAACCCGCACTCGGCAATGGAGCGGCAAGCATTCTGGTCAATAATCGTAAATCCAAAGTTCAGGATGGTTTCCCATTCTTTATCCTGAACAGTAGAATGAGGTTGATTGTGGGACAAGATGAATCAGAGGATATGATGCAAGCGAGACCAATTTCGAAAGTGTTGTGGCAGATGACAGCAGCAGGGTGAAGGCGATGTTGATGCAGCTGATAAGTAATAACTGGTGGCATGTTTTGCACAATCGGACTTAAACCTGTAGAATCAATTATTGTTGTTTGTAAACTTTGTTTTGTTATTTCAAAAAGGGATTGTCTGTTCACATACAAAATACAGGGTGCAGAATTTGTAAAATCTCTTTTAAAAAATGATACTTGATTTGAGAAAATCGGTGTGATTTCAGTCGATCATGGTTAAATCTTCAAATATTTTCCCGTGGCCCCCTTTTGGCAATATTCCCCCGCTTGCTTTTTGGTCTCTTTTTTTCGGGTGGCCCACCCTCCCTCCCAGCTATAAAATGAACGGTACCTTATGTATAAATGAGAGTAATGGCGATTAATAAATGAAAATAGACTTCAGCTGCTCTTGATAGCGACCCTATCAAATAGTTTAACTCTGTCCTAATCTTACCTTACCTTTACCTTGATCTCAGGCCTAATCCAAACATTTCCTATTAACTATTATTATTTTATCCTTAATAAAACCCATACATACCCTCTCTCTACCATAAAATCCAAATCATAAATCTTATGGTTTATTTCTAAACCTTTCCTATTACCATAATTCTAATCTTATCGTAATCGTGTTCATAGAAATAATAGATCAAAGTTTTGTCACCACAAAATGGTGAATTTATAAGGGCATTTTGACTCGTTCGAGTCTCCTGTGGCAAGTAATTTTCTGCCCCCTCCCTCTACAGGTCCTTCTTCACCATGAGAAGGTCACATATAATTCCTGCGGTGCCTGCGGAATCTTGTAAAATATTAGTCATTATTTTTTTATTTAAGTATGCAATAATAAAGTACAAAATGCTTTGTTGGCATAGGTTATGGCATAAGCAAGAGTGCCCATGTTGTTTACAAAATTCTGCAGGCCCTCTAGAAATTGTGACCTTCCATTATGCAGGCATGAGGGCCTGTAGAGGGGACTGAGTAATGTCCACATGTCCTCATGCCTCATGGGAAGGCCATACAAAATAGGCATAGCTTAATATACCAAAACCTACGCCATGATTTGTCAGCATGAACAACGATTTATTTGAGAACGAAAACTGGTGCAAAAGTTTACGCTGAAGACTTTGAAAGCTCAAATTAATTTAAAAAAGGTCGTTAAAGACACTTCTGCTTGTAAAATATTGTAGTATAAAACGACTTATACAAACACTGCTTTAATCTATATTTCTTTTTACACTTTATCTCTTACACAAAAACACTGATCAAAAACGACGTCCCTGAGCCCACGGCACAGAATGGACTACACAGAAGCCCAACTTCTTGGTTTTTCCTATGATTTTCCAATGATTTTGCCGTAACCGTAATTCGTCATCAAAATGTTGACGCCATGGGCCTAGCCAGTGCGCGTTTGAGAAGCATTCACTGGAATGGCAGACGTCCAGGGGGGTAATGCCTCTCATAAGCGCACTGGCTAGGCCTATGGCCCACGGTCTATATCTCATGTATGCTACTTCATGTCACTGCATATTACATTACTCTCTCTTTTAGCGGAAAGTGTCCTCGATCTCAACATCCATTTAGTCATACGCCCGTATTCTACAAGCTCACTCACACTCAATGAGTGGAGGTTCAATCTGAGCTTCTCTTGAGTGTCAATGCTGTTTTTGAATAGCTGGAGGGTTAGTGTCGTACCTTACTGTGTGACTACTCACCCTCCCGCTATTCAAAAACAGCATTGACACTCAAGAAAAGCTCAGATTGAACCTTCACTCATTGAGTGTGAGTGTGAATGTGAGTGTGAGTGAGTGTGAGTGAGCTTTTAGAATACGGGCGTTAGCCTTGGTATCTTTCAGGCTGTCTGCGATTACGTGCTGAGCGCCGTAAGGGAGCCGGTTCTACAAGTGTACCTGCAGGGATTTCTTGGTGAAGTACCTCAGGCTCGTACGTAGTCGCATCCGGCTGTTTTTCCTCGGATCTTTCAATGCAATTACCTCTTGATTGTTTCTTGTCCAACTTAAGACGGTTTCGGTGTACCATTTTTCCTTTTCCAGATTCAACCTAAAACCACGTAAGGTCCAGCCCACTGAAAATGGAACCTGCGGCTCAATCCTTTTGGGACTGCTCGGTTATTTAACCATACCCGATCGCCTTCCTTTAACTCAGTACATTTGTCTGTTTTGTGTTGCTGATCGTAATTCTTCTCCTGCTTCTGTTGTGCAAGACTTATACGGCGAGAAATTATGTTATGCACATCTTTCGGCGTGTTCTCTAACTCATCACTATAGTTTGAAATTAGTTGCTTCTTCGTTTCCGTCGTCGAGCTTAAGAGTATCAGTGGTGTTGTCGCCTCGCGACCATAAACTGCACGGAGAGGAGACACGCCAGAAGATGCATGCACGCTATTTTGGTAGGCGAATAGAGCCAGTGGTAGGTGGATATCCCAGTCGTTATGATCCTGATTAACATAGATTGTAAGTATCCACTCCAAAGTCCGGTTTAGTCTCTCTACCTGACCATCTGTTTGGGGATGATAAGGTGACGTACGTAACTTCTTCACCCCTAGAATTTCAAACACCTTCACAAGGTCTGCCTCAAAGTTCCGTCCCTGGTCCGTTATCAACTTGGTTGGAACGCCATGGCGAGCAATTACCTCATCCACAAATGCTCTTGCGACCGTCTCTGCTCTCTGGTTTGGTAATGGTACTGCTTCTACCCATTTACTGAAATGGTCGGACATGACCAAAACATACTGGTTAATTTTCTCCAGCAGTAATATGGAGGGGACCGAGGATATCCATTGCCCACAGTTCCATTGATTTTACGACTTCGTTGCTTTTCATCGGCCCTTGTGGTTACTGCAGGTGTCTTGCGGCGATTACATTGCTCACATTCGGCCACCCACAACTGAACTTCTGAAGTCATACCTGGCCAATAGTATTTTTGTTGTAATCGTTCCACACAACGGTTGATCCCCATGTGTCCTGAGCTAGGATCGTCATGTGCAAGTTTTAACAGATCTGTGCGCATTTCCCGAGGGACCACTAAGACAGTTCTCTCGTCTTGTGTACCTTGATCCACACGACGGTTACGTTTAGAATTCCGTCCGGCATTGTCAGTTGCGTCCATAACTGTCTATAACGTTTCAGCTCACCATTTTGCTTCCACTTTTCTTCACTTTCTGCTTCCCCCTTAGTTTTGTTCCTATGACTTGTACAATAATGGGATCCTCTTGTTGCGCTGTGCGGATATCCCCTTGCGTCCAATTCAAGTTGAACAAGCGTATTTGGCTGCTAACCCGACCCGTATTTCTTCATTCAGGCCTTCGTCAACCATCTGGCTAGTTATTGTACTATTTTCTCGTATTCTTATTGGTTGAAAGCCTAATTATATTTCATGAACTCCGGTCGAAATATATGAGAATACAAGCGGTATAGCTTACCTCCCAAAGTAAACAAAAATGTATATGTTACACCCCCCTGAAAGGCGCCATCCCATAATCCTGCAGTGGCTTTTTTACCTTGTGCTTCGCTCACCAACAGGTAAGTTTTAATATAGAGGGTTTTTGGTCGCTTTTTGTCGTTTTTTGGGCAATTTATTCATTTTTTAGACGACCCACAGATACCTCTATATATTTTACAAGTTATGTCGAGCCATCGTCATCGTAAACGATCTCGTTCGCCAGAATCTTCGCACCAAAGGTCGCAGTCGAAGAAACAGAAGTCTTCTCGTTCTAGTGATGACAACCAGGAAACGTTGAGTACTATTTTGAGTACGTTAAAGGACCTAAAATCCGACATAAACTCGTGTACTACGAGAATAGCCAACTTAGAAAACAACTACACGCGTAACGGCGATTCGGAATCCCTCCAAGAAGACCAAGATCTCGAAACTCTCGAACGAGAAAGGGACACGATATCCATTTTGGCGGGAAACAATTTCGACCGCTCAAATTGGGATCAACAAGACGATTTGGCTTTGCAGCCACCAGTTATGGCTATTCAGCCACCAAATCCGGCTATTCAGCCACCAAACCCGGCTATTCAGCCACCAAACCCGGCTATTCAGCCAAGAAATTCGGCTTGTCAGCCTTTAACGTCAACACTTAATGTTCAAGCAGAGGCTTGCCAACACGATGCAATTCGTAATATGCCTTCGAGGCTATACGACCCTGAGATTGCGGCCACTTCGTGGTCCCCATCGGATGAATTTACAAATTTTCTGGAAAAACATTTCCGCCGAAAATTGACATTTGATCAAGTATGCGACATACTAGAGGAACAGGCTGTTCCTTCAGTTGATGCTCTTGTAGCTCCAACTCTTGACCCTTCCATGATTCAATATGTCGCGGTTCAAAAGAAAAAATTCTTACAAGAACGCGACAAAGAGATTGCAGTTATTCAACGTGCCATGCTTAACGCTACCGGCCCATTATGCACATTGCATGATCATCTCGAGCAAGATAATATAAACCTCAAGCCGGCAGATCTCAAATTAATATTGGAACAAACTCTTTGTCTCCAGCGTTCTGCAAATACACAATTGTCTATATTACGTCGCAAGAAAGTACTTGCCTCAATAAACAAATCCAAAATTGAGCTAGCTACTCAACCATTGCCAAATGCTAAGAAATTGCTTTTTGGTGAAGATTTTCCTTCTATCGCGTCTAAAGAGGCAGAATTATCCCGTGGTCTCGCCAAGAATTTGGCACCGGTACCTAAGTTTGACAAAACTAAACCCGGCTACGGGTCGCGGGACTCAAGATATCCAGCTTCTTCAAACAATCACAATGTCTTTCCAACTAACGGAAACTATCAAAATTTTCGCCAAAAGCAAACATTTTTTCGTCCCCCTCTGTTTCAACAGTCACAGCGGTGAAACTCCCTCAATTCATCGAACAATGGAAAAATATAACCTCCAACCCTGCGATGTTAGAAATTGTTACAGGAATAAACATTCCGTTTCGTTGTGCTCCATTTTAATCGTCTCCACAAGCGACAAAGACACTCCTGGAGTCAGTTCCATTTTTAGAGAAGGAAGTTCAAAACCTGCTAGCGAAAGGGGCAAAATGCGAGGTTCCCTTTACAAAAGACGGTTTTTGCAGTCGGTTATTTTTAATCCCCAAAAAGGACGGAAATATGCGTCCATGCAGTTATAGATCTGAGCCCCCTAAATTGCTTTATCGAAACCCCTCACTTTCAGATGGAGCACGTAACTACAGTAAAGTCTGTCCTGAAGCAAGGTCATTTCATGACGAAGTTACATCTGAAGGATGCGTACCTTTCGGTGGCGATACATCCTCAGAGTAAAAACTTCCTTGGATTTTTATGGCAAAGCAAAGCGTACCAGTTCCGTTCTCTTCCATTCGGTCTAAATATAGCACCATCAATGTTCACCCGCTTAATGAAACCAGTAGCAGGTTTCTTAAGGAAATGGGGCATCCGCCTAGTCCGGTACCTGGACAATATGCTCATCATCGGATCGACCCCACAGGAGACCCGTCTATTCACTCTGATAGCCATGAATCTCCTGGAACCTCTGGGTTTTATAATAAACAAAGAGAAGTCGGTACTATCCCCAACTGGGATAATCACATTTCTTGGCTTTACGATCATTTCCATAACAATGCTCTTCATTCTGCCCTCCAAAAAAAAAAGGACCGGTAGTTCGTTGCGCGAGTTTTCAACAAGGTCGTTTCGGACAAGACAGAAATTGCCCTAGTGGCCCCACTATAGCAAACGCAACCTTGGTGGCCACTACTACTCAATCTGCTGGTGCAGCAACCAATTCGTCTACCAACCACAACGAAACTTCTGATAAACCCGACAGATCCTCGACAGATTCACTCGATGATCCCACAACTTTATTTGGGCGTGTTTCATATCCCCAGCAACGATATCAAGCAGAAGGCATTTCGAGAAACGTTGTCGAACTACTCATCTCAGCAACTCGACGTTCCACACAAAAGAAAACAAAAACAAAAACAATAAAAAACAACATACGCATCCAGCTGGAAACGCTGGTGCAGCTGGTGTGTTTCAGGACAAATTGATCCTATTTCAGCATCCCTGAGTAACATACTTTCGTTTCTTGCTGATTGTTTTGACGACGGTCTTCAATATCAATCCATCAATGTATTGTGTTCTGCTTTGTCTTTCACACATCCCAAGATTGATGGATATGCGGTGGGCCAACACCCTTATGTTCTCAATCTCATGAAGGGTATCCTCAACAATCGGCCCCCAAAACCGCGTTATTCGTATACATGGGACGTTCACCAGGTAACAGAACATATGAAACAGATGGGCAGCAATTCTTCGTTATCGTTAAAGCAGTTTCGCAAAAGATGTTGCTTTGTGTCCGGTGGACTGCCTTAAAACTTATTTGTCCCTCACAAAATGCTTTAGGCCACCGTCAGCGGAAGAACCTAATATTCTTTTTATCTCGCATATTAAACCTCACCGTGCAGTGACCACTGCCACTGTTGCTCGTTGGATTCGTTCATTTTTGAAAGAAGCGGGGGTTGATACGTCTGTCTTCAAGGCACATTCAGTCAGAGGCGCAGCCACGTCCTTAGCAGCCAAAGCCTTTGTGCCTTTACAAGAAATTTTAAACATGGCTGATTGGTCTAATCCATCAACTTTTCAACAGTTCTATTATAGACCAGTTTTCTCAGCAAGCTTTGGACATACAGTACTTTCGTAATTATTGTTGTTCATTCTGTTATCGAGGCGTGTAAATATACTTGTTTATAAAAATAAATAAAAAATATTAAACGCCTTAACCTTTACCTTCCTTCGTTACTCATCGAGTGTTGAAATCTACCGCTTGTATTCTCATATATTTCGACCGGAGTTCATGAAATATAATTCCAATTATACAAGGGCTGTAAGCCCGTTAGTATAATTGGGGTTATATGAGTGAACGAAGGGAGACATATATGAGTTCCCACCCATGTATCACTGATCAATAGATCAGTGTCATGTACCCTCCCAGAGTGGTGAACACGCTTGGTGTTAAAAAGCCACTGGAGGATTATGGGATGGCGCCTTTCAGGGGGGTGTAACATATACATTTTTGTTTACTTTGGGGGTGACCCCTAGTGTTAAAAGGTGATCCGAAGCACAAATAGGTAAGCTATACCGCTTGTATTCTCATATATTTCTCCCTTCGTTCACTTATATAACCCCAATTATACTAACAGGCTTACAGCCCTTGCATAATTGGAATTATACAGATAATTTTCCGTATCTCGGTGCAGACATGATGTGAACATGACAAATAAATATCGTATCTGTAATAAACAGTGTTACGCCATTAACGTTGAACTTACAATGAATATATTTATCGAATATAAACGTGATGACATGTTATGTCTAGACAATTGGGGGGGGGGGGGGCC